TGATAAACAATGGAAACATGTGAAGAAAATTTTATCTGAGACCACTCAAAAGAAAGTCAATGTGTCGCAAATATTATGCAGGCTCAATAGAAGACCTAATGCAACATCTTTGTATGAAGCCTTTCCAGAACGCGAAAAGAAGTTTAGCAAATTTACAAGGCGAACATCGAAATGAAAGTTAACTCGTTTATTAACAACTGGAGATTTAAGGATGACAACACTATCAATACATATGCCATCCCACTTCGGACAAGACCAAAGACCGATTAAGTTGAAAGTAATGAGCTTGAGGGTCGACCCATTTAAAGAGAAGCTTGTGACTCACAAAAGATACATCTAAATCACCTTTACATTTGTCTCAATGACTCGTCCCGAATATCACAATAAAATCCCGTCTAAGGTCCAAGTATAAACCTTAGATGGGTGCAATATAGGGCAAGTATGTTTAAATATAAACCGGGCCGGTCCATGTACCCTACTTCCCTTGTTTGAAACATTATCTAGCGGATTGGTTTTTGGTGAAAACTATAAGGATCAAATTAAAAAAAAGCAAAGTTAAATTGTTTGAAACCTCTAGATGAGAAGGATCACTCGGGTGTCGCTTCCCCCTAACTACTACCATAGCTCGTGGACTCGAATGGGTCGTTATGGGCGAGGCAATCGTGAACCGCTAGGAAGTGAAACTATGGTCGAAGACCACACTCTCAATTGCCAAAGCAAGGGATACATTATAGGCTACTAGAGTACCACTCTTGGTTAAGGCAATTGGGGGTTGACTTACCTTCTCCCTCAAACCAATGGTTGGACGGTTTAATCACGATTAACCTAGTCGTTTAATTCAAGATAGAGGTTTGCCCTACATTAACCTAGGTAGGTGGCTTGAAAAGCCCAAGGAATCCCAACTCAATTGAGCATCTTTGGAAAGGAGGGTTTCCCCTCTAACCTAGGTTAGAATGGACAATTAGATTGCTAAGCACAAACATGCACAATCATCATGAAAAATACCTCAATCATTAAATTAAACAACACCCATAAACAATCATTCAATTCACACAACAACTACATGGCAAATAGGTCGGGTTTCACAACACCCAAGTGAAAAAGGTAACTACTCCATGCTAGAAAGGGGAAGAACACAAAAAAAAAAAGTAGAAACTATCATGGTGATGCCTCCACTCTCCTTTGATATTGTGTTTATCTTCTCTTTAGGAGATTCTTTCCAATTCACCACTTGGAGCAAACCCTAGCCTTTTTTCTTCTTTGGTTTGTCCTTTCTCTCTTATAAAATCTGAAGAAGAAGGTGCTTTCTCACACTTGGGCTCTCCCTCTCTCTTCCTTTCAGCTCACATTATATACTGGGATCGGGCTCAGTTCACGACTTCAATTCACGGTCGTGAACTCCTCAACGCGTTCGTGAAAATGGAGTGCTGTGTTGAAATGCACCGCTCCACTCACTTGAGTTCACGGTTTGCACTCAAAGTTCACGGTCTTGGTGATCGTGAACTCAGTCGGCGTCAGTAACCTCAGAAATCGCCCTAGACGCTTCGCAGTTGACTGTTTATGGCTTCAGTTCACGGCCTTAGGAGACCGTGAACTCCAATGGGAAACCGTGAACATGGCCTGAATCACTCCCTTTGCCCGGTCTTTGCTCCTTTTCTTCCAATTTTTGACTACGTGGCTGGTTAGATCCTGAAACTCACTAAAACACAGAAAACCTAGCGTAAAACCACCATTGTAGGAGTTCAAATGTCACAAACGCCCAGGGGAAACGGGGATGAAATGTGTACTATTAGGCTTGAATCAGTCAAGCATTCATCATACAACGCATCATGTCACGTATTCTTCAAGGTTGCTACAAGGTGGCACACCAATCGAGTGAGCATCCACATAAGGGGATCCGTCTTTTCCATTTACACATTCTCATCATAGCATTACATCATGTCATATCATGATACATTTGGCATCTATATGATAATATGACGCCAAAAGCAATACATATCAATGCCAAACTTGCCACATGCCTAAGGATCACCTAGGCCATGCAGCTACTTGTTCTCAACATTTCTGCCAAACACATTACTAGAACCCCAAAGCTATTATATCACAATGGGAACAAATCAATACCCTACGCTGCTATACCACAAAGGAAAATAAAAATCCCAATGTCAATACGCACGGGAGCTAAGGAGCACCCCTACCATTCAATACCTTGCAGGAGCTGGCGAGCCCCTCTACCATTCAACAACGCACGGGAGCTAGCTCCCCTACCATACAATACCTCGTAGGAGCTGGCGAGCCCCTCTAGCATTCAACAATGCACGGGAGCTAATTAAGGAGCGCCCCTACCATTCTATACCTCGCAGGAGCTGGCGATCCCCTCTACCATTCAACAACGCATGGAAACTAAGGAGCACCCCTACAATTCAATACCTCGCAAGAGCTAGCGAGCCCTTCTACCATTCAACAACGCACGGGACCTAAGGAGCATCCCTACCATTCAATATCTCGCAGGAGATGGCGAGCCCCCTACCATTCAACAATCCACGGGAGCTAAGGAGCGCCCCTACCATTCAATACCTTGCAGGAGCTGGCGAGCCCCTCTACCATTTAACAACGCACGGGAGCTAAGGAGCACCCATACAATTCAATACCTCGCAGGAGCTGGCGAGCCCCTCTACCATTCAACAACACATGGGAGCTGAGAAAGCGCCCCTACCTCTTCAATATCCGATGGAAGCTGAGAAGCAACCCTACCTCCTCAATACCATATGGGAGCTGAAAAGAGCCTAGAAAAATTACAACCACTTTCCATATTACGAAGAGCTTGAAATTTTTCACATCAGTTAACTCTATCGTTTTACACACCAGGTTTACTTACAATCTTCGCGTCACCCCAAAAAACACTCTCATTGGATGCCTAACACAACTATTGAGTTTAATTTCACAAAATGTGGTGTCTTTATAAGAACTTTGTATAACTCTTTATACGAAGAGATATGCAATTTGGGGAGGGGGGGGGGGGAATTGTAGACACCACATTTTGTCCGGAACAACCACTCGGCCTAAAACTCAAAAGGATAAGTTGAAGTGAAAGGTTGGACGAGATTGGTTGAGATTAGCAGTTGCCAATCAATAAGTACCAATGATTTCCAAGTTCATTATTATTTAGCTCTATTATCATATTAGTTTAGATTAACAGTGGCTAGTTAACAAGTCAACAAGTGCTAATAACAAACAAATTTGTTTTATTTAATTCTAGGATTGTATTAACATTTTCAGTTTACAGTTGGTCACATTGGTCTGAAGTTGGTCAAATGGGATAGGAGGATGAATGGTAATGTTGCTTATATTCGCCGAAGTCCATAGTTTGGGAAATATGGATTAGAAGTTTGCACCGTTTAAAATTGGAGAAGCAAGCGAATTGGGTGGGAAGAATCAATTGAATGTTTGAGCAATACATCACAATAATCATCTAATTCTTAAAACAATAACATGAATAATTAAATGTGTAATTACAAATTAAAATTTGTAATCTTTAAGATACACTTAGAAAAAGAAACAATAGACTTCTTCTTTTAAGGCACCAATCAAAATTGGAGGCCTAGTCTTTTGAGACTTTATGAGCATCCTTAGATCATCATTATGGGCCAGATAAAGGTCATGCAAAAAAAAAACTACTAGAAACCAGTCCAAACCAGCAGCCCACACTTTGGCTCGATTTTCTAACCATAATCCCAATTCAGGATCATAATTTTCGGCCCAGTCCAATTCGGTCAACCAAACTAGTCCAGCGTCAACTTTTTCAACCAGGTCAATTCTGGTCAACCTGGGCAACCAAACCCATCATCCTTATCTTATCCAAAAACAAAAATTATTGTCGGCCCTTAAAAGAAGCAACGCGGCCACCACCTCTAGATCCAATAAAAACTTGCCATTCATTTATATGGATCAGGCCACCACTTCAGGAGCAAACGAAGAACAACCAACACACAAGAATGAACAGTAAAAGGGGAGGGGGGTATATAAGAGCACGAAGACACTAAAGAAGGCAGGCAAAAGCATTAAAGACCACTAAGGAAGCAAACAACAAGAGGCCAATGGTACTACCCTCAAACAACATAGAAAACAGGTTGGTGTTTCTTCACCCCACCAATCATACAAGCATGTATTCATCCATATGTCCATGTTGAAAAAAAAAAACGTTTAATATGATTGTAGATGATGATGCTTCTAATTTAATAATCCATAGTTAGGTTGCTTAAATCTGTATGTGAAGTGGGTATTACGAAATTCTGATTTTTGTGACTTGTATGCCTCTTTACGCCATTCATTTCTTTCATTATATCCTAAGATAGACAGCTTGCCTTTTTATCACCCGCATACTATGAATCAGCTTAAAATGCTTTCAGTTTTCTAGCAAGCATAATTCTTGCTAAGTTGCTAGCTAAACTTAGTGCTATAATCAACTAAGATAGTTCATTTACTCTTTCCACATACCAATAATCCAGCAATCCAATCAAAACAGAAAAAGAATTAATATCAGACCCTTGAGAGAGTATTTTAAAATACCTCTTTTGGGTTTAAGGACACCCCCTTTCGACTCAATACCAACTTTTGGTAATTACAAAGTTCTATTTTTAGTTGTTATATTTTCGCATGCCTAATACCATAAAAGCCCTTATGCTATTAAAAATTTCAGATTTTACCAGTTCATATCAGTTTTTTTTAAATCAATCATATAAGCAAATCCCAATTTTAGAATAAAGCTTCCCACCAATATGGTGGTCATAAGCAGTAGCTTTGACCTCAGATTACATTAGGATCATTATAGACATTAAAATTTAATAAAGCAAGCTTTCGTTTCCAACATATCCAAAACCAAATATTAAAGCCGAATGAGCCCGGTAGGGGTACAAACCAAAACTTTGGTTTCTTAACACCACAGACAAAACCATAGCTATAATAACCAACAATCTAGTTTAAGTTTAGAAAGATATCACCTATTGTCTCTTCAAACCGTAGATATATGCAAAAACAAGGAAATCAAGAATTAGAATCCCAAAATAGTGATAACGAACCAAAACCCAGAATAACGAAAATTAAAAAAAGAAGTGCAAAACGAACTCAGCGAAACCACCCTGCCATCAGATTCCGGCAGAGGCCGCACCGCTGGGATCTTCTGCTTCTCCATTCCTTCCTTGAGAAGAGACAAAAAAAATTGAGAAAAATAAATAGGGATTAATATCCCGATCTAATTCAGAATCAAACGAAAAAGGAATGCATATAAAAAAGAAGGCTTACCAGAGGGTAAGATCTTCTCACCGCCGTCGCCGCTCCAACTAGAAAAGCTGATCGAGAGCTCCTCTATGCTCTTGGTCATATTTCCGAAAATAAAATACAAGAAATAGGGATTACAATTTCGAAAACCCTAAATCAGATTAAAAAATAGCAGAAATGGCATGGATAAAAGGAAAACGAACCTTAAAAAACTCCATTTTGTTGTCACTGGCGGTGCATGTCGCCATCGTCGCCGACAATCCTGCCACCCTCGTCACCCTAGTAGCTCGAAGGGAGCAAATGAGACCGAGGGCGAAGAGAGGAAGGGAGAAAAGAGGTTGTTTTCTGATCCATTTTGGTTGGCGGCCTGAGGAGACGGCAAAATTGGCGATGGTTTCGTTCTTCTCGGTAAGTAGCTGTAATGAACCAATATGGAGTAAGGGAGTTAATTGTTAGTATCAGGAAAATAGGGACTAATTGGGATATTTTGTAGAAGGATATACATTGTGTTCTGGATGTACTGCTGCAACTATCGAATAACAGCATAAGAATTCCCCTATCTCTACTTCTTCTCCTCTGCTCTGTCTCCTCCCTTCTTCCCCTTCTTCTCTGTTCTTCCTACATTTCCAGACCTTCTCCAGAAAATCATCTTCGCCAAGACTCTTCTTCCTCCCCAGGGCGTGACAAGGTGGTATCAGAGCCCTGTCTTGGCACAATGGCGGCGACTCGAGGTACAATCGCCGAACGCGTGCCTAGTTTCATAACTCGACTGGATAATCGCTTTGATCGATTCACTCAGGAGATTCGCGATATGCTTCACGGAATTCTTCCTCTTAGGCCGGTGGAGGCAACTGTCGGCGCGGTGGCGCCGCTGGAGGATCAAATTGGCGCGGAGGGCATTTTGCCTCTTCCACAGAATCGTCAAGTCGCTGAGCCTCTTCTTGGCACAATGCCAACCATGGTTCCGCCGATGCGGACGATAGAAGACCGGTTAGCCGTCATTGTTAATCCGGTGACTGCACCGACGCTTCGAGCATCTCTCGCGGCTTCAGAAGTGGCGTTTTTGCGATGCATGATCTCGTGCAGCAGATTCGACGGACAGCTACGGGAATCGCCCTTTCTCGGACTTACGTCGACCAACTCCGCATCTGCCAGACGTATCTCGATACTCTTTCTCCATCCAACATCGACGGTGATCTCCTCGGCAACCCAGCGCCTTCACTGTTGGCGGTGAGAGACGTCGATCGGAGTGCCCTACTGCCGATTCCAGAAATTCGGCCGCCAACTGTTCGACGAAATGCCAAAGAGGGAATCCCTTCCTCTGCTGAACCTGCAATTCACAGTCACACTTCCGGTAATCTCTTCTCTACTCAGCCTTTAGAGTTTCCCTCATTCAATGGAGAGAATCCTAGTTGCTGGGTTAGGGAGTGTGAGCGATTATTTGAGGAGTATGATACTCCAGAACATGAGAAGGTCAGGGTTGCTACCATTAATTTCGGGCGAAGGGCAGATTTATGGTTTGGGGGATGGAGTTTTTGTCACTCGGTTTGGGTTTGGAGTGAGTTTGCAGTAGCATTGTCCGCACGCTTTGGATGGTGCACAACTGGGGAAACAGTAGGTTCGTCAACGTCAGCTGCGATTAATCAAAAGGATGGTAACGTGGCTGAGCTCAAAGTTGGCCCGGAGGTAGAACAAGACAATGTCAACTTGATTCAAGCGTTGGAAGGTGTTAATATGGAGAATGTAGGCAGTGTGGCAGCGGCAGCGACTAAGGACTCATATTCAGAAGTGAGTACGGTGAGTGAAGATGGACATGTATCGGCTGCCCCTATTCCAGTCTCAGAAGGGAATAATGACCAATACCCACCCCGATTACCTGGAGGCTCACAGCAAATGCGGCAGATGTCGCATCCTCATCAGCTAGTGCGCGATACACTGAATGATGGTAACAACAAGGCTGTTCGAACACAACCGAAGCCGTTATTGCATGCTCAGTGGCACCCTCAGTCACAAGACATGGCTTACATGTCAATGAGCATTTCATATAAGCAGCACCTCCATGAGGAATTTCACCAAAGAGTGTCCAAGCAAGCCTTGAAGAATTGTGTTCATACCGGCTCATTGGTGGTCCAGAGACAACAACAGAAGGCTGGGGGTCTGGTTGGAGCTGGAGGGTCGTTTTATTCAGAACTTCCCGGTGCTTGGCTTGGATATTCAACCAATGCTGGTTATGTGCATGAATGTGGCAGGTTGGATTCATGTTTTGTTGTGGTGAGATCTATTGGGCGAGGTGTTGGCCTTGACTTCAAGGAGCCCTACAAGGAGTTTCACGGGACTGTAGTTCTTTCTCATGGACGAGGCAATTGCCCTGAGTTTAAAGAACCATACAAAGATGGTGTTCTGGTGGGTTGTAGTGTTGGAAAGCTGTTTTCTGGGAATTTTCAACAGGGCTGGGTGGTTGATGGTTGTATGGGAGTTGTGATGCAGGATAGTGGTGCTTCTGCGATTTATTTTGTGGGTTGTGATATGGAGAACTTGCCTTCAGGGGCTGGTGGTGGCTGTCGAATAAGGACAGTCTGCAGTTTGAGAATTACATAGCTGGTGGCATCATGTTTCAGTAGCTTACTTGCAATGGAGCAGAGGCCTTGCTTTCTTTTGCTCTCTTCAACAACCATTATGATTTCCAGTTTCTTTCCTTGTGTTACTTGTTTCTCATTTCATTTTTAGGTTGCTGGGTTTTCAATTATATCTCCGCCTTGAGGACAAGGCTAATCTCAAGGGGTTGGGAGTTGTAATGAACCAATATGGAGTAAGGGAGTTAATTGTTAGTATCAGGAAAATAGGGACTAATTGGGATATTTTGTAGAAGGGTATACATTGTGTTCTGGATGTACTGCTGCAACTATCGAATAACAGCATAAGAATTCCCCTATCTCTACTTCTTCTCCTCTGCTCTGTCTCCTCCCTTCTTCCCCTTCTTCTCTGTTCTTCCTCCATTTCCAGACCTTCTCCAGAAAATCATCTTCGCCAAGACTCTTCTTCCTCCCCAGGGCGTGATAGTAGCAGGGAAGAAGAGAACGAGAGAGATGTTGAGGGGTGAGAGAGGGAGTAGATGAAGTGAGAGGGCGGCCGCTCTGCCGATTTTAGGGTTAGGAGTAGTTTAGGGTTTCTAAAAGATGATTATATACCACGAAAATTAAAATAACTTAATTACCCCTAGGGTTTCAAACTATTTAAGCGGCCTTGCCACCGTCTTTTAGCTCATTTATGAAGTTCCCCTTCCCCTCGTCTCTGCACTAAAACGGTTGTCACAAAAATTGTAGTGACCCAGTTTCGAACCCTCGTCCTCAGGATAAAGTGCATACCCACAAATATCGACTTAACTAGTTGGGCTGCTGGCCCATCATGCGTAAATCTAATCATTCCGTTTAGTTTTGTTGTCTAGTAAGAAATTTCGATTGCGGATTAAGTTAGTTTTGCTTCTTTTCTAACACATCAAATTTCTTCTTAATAACTAAAATCCTTGCATTTATTTTCATAACATCATAATAATCTAAATGAAATTTTATTAACAAAATTATAATACGAGAATTACATTCAGTGGAATGTGGTAAAAGTCATAACTAAATCAATCAAAGTTAACAAAATCCTTAATACAAGAACCACTATAATTTTAACGTGATAAAAGTCATATTTTAAAATATCAAGGTTACCCAACGAACTACGTGAACTTTGATCCGGTATTACGGGTACATAGGCAACCGATAAGGTTCGAGTCCAACTAAACTAAATTTTTTTATCTTTAAACGAACGCTAGTGGGCGTATAATAAAATCATGAACTAATACAGTATAATTTTTATTGGTCCAGCGAGACCCAAAAATATGTAATTTACTAAAATACACCCAACTCGTATGAAACTTATCAATTTAAGTAGTACCAATTTAGGACGTTGTGGGGTATGATTTCACTACCCCTCACGTAACCGTACTCCCAAACCTAGATTTCTAATCGCAGACCCAGTCTCGGTTCTGACCCTAAGGTTAGAGCCGACAGAAAAGTGTTCGATCCACTCCAAGTAAGATCGATGGCGACTCCAAAAGCGAACGCGCCCCCGACCCCGGAGGGGAGGTTGCAACAAAGAGTTCTCACATTATTTATCAACTAACACATAACCTGCTTCGACGAATCACCAATCACAATCACTCATGCATGAAGATCACATCATAGGAACGAACGATCGAGCAACCTAGGTCCTCGAAGGGGTATAAGAAATGAACAAAACATGATAAATGAATCACTCACTCTCGACCATTGAGGTCAGGACCATTTGATGCAAAAGATGTGCATATTCATTCTCAATCCTAACGTCCCTTTACCATGACGGTAACCTCTAAATGTTAGAGTTCACAAGATGGGTGTCATTGCTACCTTGTCCAGAGGTCTTAAACACGGGTTCAAATGATTGGCTAGGGTCTCGGACATGGGGAAAAGGCTTTTTGGGTGGTGGAAAACATAACATGAGGTTCTACATCTTCAACCAAAGACACAAGGTTCTATGGTTTCGAGTAGAACCTTCCCTACAAACAACGACCGCTAGCATCGGCCAATAACCGCACTTCCCACTATTCCAAACCACAACCAATCACCAAACCATATCACGCATACTTTCTTGCTACATTTGCTATTCAATTTTAAGCATAAGAGTGTAGAGGTCAACAACATGTAAGTTTTCCTATGGCTTGCATGCTAAGCAACACTTCTAAGAGCACGGGTTCAAATGATTGGCTATGGTCTAGGACATGGGGGAAAAGGCAATTTGGGTGGTGGCAAACACAACATGAGGTTCCACATCTTCAACCTTAAACCAACAAAAGGTCTATGGTTTTCACTAAGAACCTTTCCTACAATCAATGGCCACTGGCATTGGCCAAAGACCACACTTCCCTTCTTTCCAAACTACAACCAATCACCAAACCATGTCACACATGCTTTCTTGCTACATTTTCTATTCAATTTTAAGCACAAGAGTGTAGAGGTCAACAACATGTATGTGTTTATATAGCTTGTATGCCAAGAACACTTCTAAGAGCATGTTCAGCATTTATTATATTTTTGGGTGGCCAATCTCTTTTCTTCTTTGACCTTTTATTGATTTCTTTTTTTTTTCTTTTCCCTTTTTCTTGAGGGCTATAGAGAGCTAAAAACATGCCACATTTTTTTTAACTTAACGAACAATGCTCACTTTTACGAACTACCTCCACACTCACTTCACTTCTTAGCAACCATACACAAATCACTCATGTGGAACCTCGTTTAAGATCAAATGGTATGAATGGAGCTTCCAAACACAAGGGTGACTCGATACGTGTAGACATGAAGAAAGTAGGGTCGCTCTATCTAAATCAATCAAGCTCAAGTAGCGTGAGTTACCTAACACGAGAGCGACCCTTAGACACACGGCTCAAAAGGGTTGACTAAGGAATAATATGATCGGGTCGGTCAAATTTTGGGTCGTGGGCTAATCCTATGTCTCCATCTTCCTTGCTAGCAACAACGTAAATGCTACACATCATGTAAAGGGGGATCTATCACACAAGAACGAAACGAACGACACAAGTCTCACATGGTTACCTAGGTGCTCAATCATTCCTTCTAACTCCCTAAACTCGATGCATAGGCAACTGTGAAAAGCAAGTAATCGATTCAAAACATCTATCGGTTCACAAATATATGAGAAATGAACCTATGCACAAACCTAATACAAGTCTCAATCGTCATCATAGGTTGCACGTAATCACAGGAAAACCATCCATAGGTCATGCTAATACCCACGAGATTCAAAACAAAACAACACAAGTGCCACTACGATCATACAAATATAGAGGTTGCTATGCTTTGAGCCCTCAAATTTTTAAAAGTTGGGCATACAACTAGGATCCAAGCATTCAAAATCACACCAAACATTTACAAAGACATGCACAATGGACTACCCCCCCCCCACCCCCACTTAAGCTCGACATTGCCCTCAATGGCGTAAAATAGGGAAGTGGAACGATGTTACCGGATAGTGGTGAATGTTGGTGTTCGGGAGCGGAGGCCGGGTGAGATCCGGGAGAGCAAGGAGACGGAAAAACACCAAAAGCTCTCCATTGGTTGTCATATTTAAAGGAAAAGAGATGCAAATCGCTGATGGTTGGGTTGCCTCCCACCAAACGATTCTTTAACGTCGTGAGCCGGACGATTGCTCCTCAAGTTTCGGTCCACCCAAGAACCTCCTTGAAGTTGAGGTTCTCGTTGGTAAGATGAAGTCTCAAGTCACGAGCTTTGGATGAATCCATGATTGAGGGCTCGTGAACTTGAGTTGTCATGAGGCTCCACCCATGAGACCTCTTCTTCTTCTTTTCTTCTTCTTTCTCTTTGCCCCCACACCATGTAGTCCATCATTGATTCACTTCCATCGCATCCACCAAGAGGGATAGCCGATGGTTTGGCTTTGTCTTGGCAAAGAGCCGCAAATGGTTCCTTCTCAAAAAGTGCGTCAAGGTCGGGTAGAAAGCATTGATAGCATTTGTAACTCGTGGATGCTTCATCCACCCCAACCTCGTCCTCATCTTGGACACCACTTGCTCCTTCTTCTTCTTCTTCTTCTTCCTCAACCTCCATTCCTTCTTCTTCACTTTCCTCCTTGTGGGAACAATCAAGATTTTCCCCTTTTTCAATGTTTTCTTCCTCCTCTTCAACCTCTTCCTTCTCCTTCCCATTCATGCCCTCGAGCACGGTTTGGAGGGCAAGATTCCATGCAAGATCATAAAAAATTATTCTCTTGCTCCTCCACACTCATGACTTGGTCTTCAAAGTTGCTCTCGGGAAGGGTTTGAAAGTCATCAATGCAACCCTGTTGTGCATCCTCGCCATGGGAGCTCTCCGGGGTGAGTTCGTCTTGCTCCATGACTCACTCCTACTGTCACTCTAGAAAATGGCCAAGTGTAACCACTTCCTAAAGCGTAGTATAGCGGGTTTGGGTTTTAATGTCAACCCAGGTCCTAGATGTGATGACTACTCAGTGAATTCTTATTATCTAGCGGTGAAACTTTAGTGCAGGTCTAAACTAACAGACAAGCAAACAGTTAAACGGTTGTTTTCAAGTCGAGAGAGGTCACCCGTATATGGTTCCCCCTAGACTGCAGTTAAGCCGGATTGCAATTTACCAACTTCAGTTTCTATGATAGTTATACTGCGGAAGGTTCTTAAACAGTCTGAAGTCTCGACTAAAGGTCTCCAGACCCTCTCAATCTGAGTCTCTAGCGGGTGACTAACCTCCACCGGAGTAAACAGATTGAGGCCCTAACGAACAAAACCTCCACTACCGAAGTGAATTCGGTACAGAATAGTGAGTTGGCTCCTCGACTATAGTCACCAACTCCCTACCTTCAATCAAGGGTGCTCTATCAATCCTAGGCAGATATTCTCTCTCTAGGTTAAAGCAGAAACAACAGGAATTTGATCAGGATTCATGCCATTCAATAAATCAAACCTCAATTGAATATAATCAAATCATAGAATCTGTTCTTGGGTTCATACAATCAGACCTAACATACAAATCTAGGGTTCTCCATACCCAGATGAATAAGAAAACTACTCCATAGAGAGAGATGGAAAATCTAGCTCAGATGCGGAAACCATACTGTGAAGGATGATAATCTGCTTCTGGAGCTCAATCGGATCGTCTCCAAGCTCAAGCCGGGCTCCAATGGTGATGAAGATCAAGCTAGGGCACTTGGGAACTCTGGTTTGTCGCTTTCTCTCTCTAGGAATCGCTCTGTCTCTCTAAAACTCGGAACCCTTGATTTTTAGCCTTTTTTCCCTTAAAAAGTTGCCTGTCGCGATGCTCGGTCGAAATACCCGGTCGGGTATTTTGGGTGTCGACCGGGTATGTTCAAAACGCGCGTTTAGGAACAGGGGAAAATCCCCGGCCTGGCCTAAGAATCCCCGACCGGGCATTTCTGCTTCCTGCCCGGGCCCCCTTCTGCTTCTCAGCGACGCCCAAAGCGACAAATACCCGGTCTGCTCCAAATAATACCTGGTCGGGTATTGGAGCCCATGACCGGGTATTATCCTCCTGCAGCACACTTCAACCCAACT